TCTGGAATGATGTCTGGAAGATGTCTGGTCTATCCGACCTAATTAACATATTACCCTTTTATTAGTATGGATAGTAGAAGATCGTTAATAGCTATCAAGTACATACTGTGTGGCAGGCAAAAGAATAAAGGCTTTAGATGGATGAACTTATTTACTCTTGTAGACACCGAGAAGGGCTCCTGGTGGCTAACTGGGCTCAAATTTAAAAAGCAGAGCCTAGCAGCAGGGCCTCACACAAGCCACGCTTCAGCAGTGAGAAGCCTGCACTAAGTTGCCTGCCTTCCACACTGAACTGCCTGCCTGCACTGTGTTCCTGCAGTGTGAGCCAACCTTTATAAAGGAGTTTCTGGAATCATATTTCAACCAATAGACTAAGATTTTCACCATCCAATCAGAGCTGCCCAGCTATATCTCATTAACATCTTCACCAACCAATCAGAGAAATCCATTCTGACCAATCAGGACACTGTTTTGTGAACCAATTAAATAGTGAGGATTTGGAGTCCTCATTTGCATGAGGACAGACCAAGCAGAGACCAGGAGCAGAGACTTCTCTATACATAAGTCAGTTCCTCTCTGATTCTGGTAGCACACTTTCCCTTTCCCCCCAAGACTAAAGACTGTGTTTCCCCACTGGAGCAGAAACACCAAAGACATCTTACAGGACCAGAGAGGGGCAGACCAAGGCAGAGCAGAGTGGGCTAGAGCAGAGCTGTCAGAGAAAGGCCTCACGTAAGGGCCACCTCACAGCTGCGCTGTTCCACAGCTAATGCTGTTCATAATTGAGTTGTATCATGACTGAGCTGTTTGCATTGAATAAAGTTTCCTTCACTACACTCCAAATTGGGGATTCCTGTTGGTGTTGAATTGGTGCCAAAGACTATTGGTGGACAATCTTCATAAAAACTTGAGAAGGCAGTTGCCATTATTATCTCCCACTTTAGAGATGAGAAAAGTGAAGCACAGAGAATGAAATAACTTGCCAACAGACACAAGCTGAGACAGTGTAACCCCATTAAAGTTAGTATTATTCAAAAAGAGGTCTTATAATAGGAGTACTTTGGCCCTAGAGCTTTAAGTACTAGAGCTTCCTCTATAGCAGTGGTTCTCAACCTTCCTAATGCTGCGACCCTTTAATAAAGTTCCTCATGTTGTGGTGACCCCCAATTTCATTGTTACAAATTGAACATAATTAAAGCATAGTGATTAATCACAAAAACAATATGTAATTATATATGTGTTTTCCGATGGTCTTAGCCAACCCCTGTGAAAGGGTCGTTTGACCCCCAAAGGGGTCGCGACCCACAGGTTGAGAACCGCTGCTCTATAGTAACAACTCAGGAAATTTAGTGTAATATATAACTATGATCTGGCTAAAAGAGCTCAGGAATATGTGTGAACGAACCCCAAAGGAAGCAGTAATAACATCCATCACTGAATTTAGTATACTACATCTAATATATAATGAAAACACAATACATATTTGGAAACTCTGCCATAACCAAACAATAATGTAAAACAAAAACTAGTGGCTTATCTTCAAATCATAATGAAGTTGGAAAAAATACATATATTTTATCCAAGATCTAATGGTTTTATAAGAGATTTTTTTTAGTCACCTGAAATGTCATAAACCAGCTTCTTTTTAATCTATACTAATGAAAGGGTAATATGCTAATTAGATCAGGAGACCTTCTGGACAAAGCCATGGTGGCGGGGCTGAGGCAGAGGCAATTAGGGGCCTTCAGGACAGGAGGGGAGGGCAGTTGGGGGCGATCAGGCAGGCAGGCAGGCAGGTGAGTGGTTAGGAGCCAGCAGTTCCAGATTGCAAGAGGGCAGTTGGACATCTCCTGAGGGTTCCCAGATTGGAGAGGGTGCAGGCCAGGCTGAGGGACACACACCTCTGCCCCGTGCACGAATTTCATGCACCAGGCCACTAGTATATTTTTATTGATTTCAGAGAGGAAGGGAGAGAGATAAAAATATCAATGATGACAGAGAATCACTGATCGGCCTCCTGCATGCCCCACACAGGGAAGCCCGCAACCTGGGTGCGTGCCCTGACCAGGAATCAAACCCGTGACCTCCTGGTTAATAGGTCAAAGTGCAATGACTGAGCCATGCCGGCCGGGCTAACCCAACTTCTTAAAGTTCACAAAGTTCAAAATCATTTCATTTCAAACAATAGTTTACATGACTATCCAAATTTTTCTTTAGTACTTTTCTTCAGTGCCCTCTAATGGACATAAGATAAATAAGCAAAGAAAAAATGAACCCACATATTATTCCAAACTCTTAATGTATACTTGAAATTTGCTGAGATTAGATATTAAGTGTTCTCAAGACACACACAAACAAGGTAACTATGTGAGGTAATGGATGTGTTAATTTGATAGTGACAATCATTTCACAATGTATACATATATCAAATCATCACATTATAATCTTACCAAAAATCATGCTTTACAACCTAAATATGTACCTTTTTTATTTGTCAATTATGCCTCAATAGAGTTGGGAGGGGAATTATTCCAAATTCTTCCTTCACTACAAATAAAGCTTTAAATATCTTTTCTAAATCCAGAAATCTATATCAGTTATCTCATGCACTGAAATCTATTCTATCTTAAGACAGTTTTACCACTGAAAATTACTGAGTTTTTTAATCAAGGGCCATAAAATTATACATTTGTTTTGATCTAATATATCAACTTTGGAAAAATATAACCTAAGAAAATATTAATATATTTTTTAAAGTAAAAATGGTCTAGACCCATGCTAGTTATAACAGCAGAAAACCTGAAACAGACTAACTAATCTACTCTAGAAAAACATATACTAGTAAGCCAAGTTAAAATGTGTAAGCAAACTTACTGCTCATTCTAACATCTGCCAGGCTTTTAGAGATTTGACGCATTTTCACATTAATGATATGGATACACCTTATGTTTCACAACTGCACAACAATATTGTATTTTATGGATATACCATGCTTTTTTCAATCAATATCAGACAGTTGTTTGGTATATATGCTGTGAAGCATAACTTTGTGAAGATGCTGTTTTGCATTTGTGAAGATTTATCTTCAAGGCAAATTCATACACTGGATCATGGGTAAATGTATGTAAATTTGGTCAAGACTGCCAGAGGGCACTCCATACATGTTATATGATTCTGGACCCCCTTTGGCAAGGTGTGAGTGACTATTTTCCCAGAGCCTCACCAATTGTGTATGCTGCCCAATTTTTGAATTTTTGTTATTTTGCAAGATGAGAAATGTAGGTCACTGCAGTTTAAATTTGAGCACTTTTTCATATGTTTTTAAGTCCATTTGTACAGCTTTTTCTGAGACTTACCTATTCATGTTTTTGCCATTTTTTCTATTAGGTTTAGGTCTTTTTTTTAATTGAAATATTTTCCCTCACTTTATCATTTGTCTTTTGATTTTGTTTACAGCCATATAAATCTTTATAAAAAATCACTGGTAAATTCAATCTTTTATAGTTTCTGGATTTTGAATATTGAAAACCTTTCTCTAAATTAAAAAATAGAGCATCTAATTCTACTATTTATATATTTTTTCAACATTTAGATCTCTGACCCAATTAGAGTCAAATACCTGTACGTGATGTATGTATAAGTACAGAGCCAGTTTCATCTTTTCACAACTAGTATCTAGTTGTCAACATCATTTATTTTAAAAGTATATTTCACACTAGGGAAAAGAGATGCCACCTTTATCATATAAGCAATTTCTGTATATACCTGGGTCTATTCCTAGAATTTTACTCTTCCCTTGGTCTGTCTGTCTCATCAGGAGCTAGTACCAGATGTCTTGTAGTTAGATGCAATATCTGATAGATCTGGTCTTTCTCATTACTACTTTTCCCACAAGGTTTTCCTAGCTATTCTTGCATGTTTATTTTTCCACATGAATCAACCAGTCTATCTCCAGAAAAAAAATTTATTGAAATTTTTAATGAATGGCATCATACCTATGTATGTATTAACTTAAAAGAACTGACATCTTTGCAGTACTGAGTTAGCATACCCAAAAACAAGATGTCTTTCCATTTGTTCAGGGCACTGCCATAATTTTCAGAAATGTTTTAAAGTTTTCCTCACATAGATTTAGGGTATTTTTTTAATGTATTTCTATGTAGTCATTTATTTTTTATGTGGTCTTTCCTTCCATGACAAGTTCTAACTGGTTATTGTTTGGAAATACAAAAACTTTTTACTTTTTACCTATGATATCCTGCTACCTTATTAAATCTCTTCATTTGAGTTTGTATTAATTTTATGATTGATTTTCTTGGATTTTTCCATAGTTTTACTTATTCTGTTTCTAACACACGCATTTGATACATTTTTAGTTTAGAATATTCTTATTTCCCAAAACTCACACATAAATTGAGATTTTATATTTTTATATAATTGTATATTTTATGTTATTTCAATTTTAGATCACTGGAATCTGCCCAAAATCCTACATTCTCACATGCGTTTAGTCACTGAGACAATGACAATTCACACTAACATTTCCTAGATTCTTCGGGCCTCCACCCACACTGATCTCAACACCTGCAGACTGAGCTGCCATCATTCCTAAGCTCAACATGCTCAGTCTGCAAAACAGGAAAGCAACTTTACACAAGAGCTCTATCTGAAATCCTAACACTAATCAATCTTACCATGAAGTCATCCTGTCACCTTCAGCTACCCAATGAATGAAATCCCCCCTACCATCTAGCCTTTCCTTAGTTCTTGTCCTAAAAGTCTTCTGCCTATCCTACTACGAACTCATTTTCACAGGGCCAAGAGGGAAGACTTTCACAGAGTTCATGTAAAAGTAGCAAAAAAGTATAAAACTCTCAAGACAGGAGGCAAATAAATAAAACTGTCCAATTATGAGCTCAGGTCGACTATACAGCAATACAGAATGCTAGATATTAATCCACTGGAGGATCCCAGTTCATTATTTCCCAAAATTACAGTACCTTTTCTTTCTTGACATGATTCATAATGTTGCCGAGGTCCTCAACATCAACCACAGAAGTTAGACTCTGGTGGTCCTCAGTACCAGACTCTTCCTCACTGGAACTCTCAAAGGGCTCCTCCTCCTGGAACATCAATGCTTTAGAAATATATTGCTCAAAGTAGCAAACCATCTACTATCCCCTCCCAAATTCTGAGGTCACTGGATGGATAGCAAATATTTTTGGCTAGAGGTCAGCAAACTATGACCCACAGGCCAAATCCAGCCAGCCTCCAGTCAAATCTGAAGGTGCCCATCATTTACATAGTAACTATGGATACTTTCTTGATATAACAGCAGAACTAATAGTTGCAAAAGAAACTACATGGCCCACAAATACTTGTACATGAATGTCATAGCAGCATTATTCCCAATAGCCAAAAAGAAGAAATAATCAAAATGTCCATCAACAGATAAATGGATCAATAAAATGTGATATATCCATACAATGAAATATTATTCATCCATTAAAAAGAAATGATGTACTGATCCATGTATAACATGGATGAATCTCCAAAACATTATATTAAGTAAAAGAAGCAAGACAAAAAGAGGTCATATATTATATTATTCCATTTGTATGAAATATCCAGAATAAGTAAGTCCATAGAGACAGAAAGCAAATTGGAGGTTGTCAGGACTAGGGGAAAGCGGGGGAAGAGTGCCGGCTTCATGGTTTGCTTCTGAAATAATGAGAAGGTATTGAAACTTGATATAGGTAGTGGTTGCACAAAATTGTGAATGTACTAAATACCACTGGATTATAGACTTTAAAATGATAATTTTGTTATGTGAATTTTACCTCAGTACTTTAAAAAAATTTTAAATATATTCAAAGCGAATTATAGGGGAAAATAAGCAAAAAGACTGGCTAGAAAAAGAGAACAGAAAAATGAAACAGCAGCTGAAAGACAGAACAAAGGAAAGATTTGTTGTTTACTTCTCTTTGTTTAAACATAGATGATTCCAGAGCATGTTTATATATTTACTAGAGGCCCGGTACACGAAAATTCATGCACTGGGGGGAGTGGGGGTCCCCTAAGCCCGGCCTGCCCCCTCTCACAGTCTGGGAGCTCTCAGGGAATATCCTACTGAGACTTAGGCCTGCTCCCCTCTGGCCTCTCTCTGCAGGAGGCGATCGGCCAATCAGGGGAAGGCGCCACCCCCATCATCCCGCTGCTGCTGCCACTGCCGGCTGCCCGCCCTCCTCAGCCCTCGTAGCCGCTGCAGCTTTGTCCAGAAGGACTCTGGAAGACGTCTGGTCTATCCAGTCTAATTAGCATATTACCCTTTTATTAGTATAGATGGGAACGATCTAGTAGAGAGGAAAAGATTAACAATTCAGGAGAGAGAAATGCAATGAACAAAGGAACCAAAGTCCTTGATTCCAGAGCATGCACAGAAAGTGGTCTTTGAAAAACCCAGATACTTGTCTTCTGGGACAGAAAAGATGGTGAAGATTTGTAGGCGGGGCAGGGGCTCTAAGAGAATTCTTCTCTAATGGCTCCATCTGAGAGCTAGAGGAAGGGGTAACGAGAAAGAGGTATTAAACAGTCATCTTGGAGAGTGAGAAAGGGAACTTACAAGAGAATGCAGGAGACTGTTGGGAAGTTCTTAAATCATACTTGAATCTGTGGTCAAACAGCAAGCAGCAGGCAATGGAGAAGGCACACAGCAGGTTTCACATGGCTTGGAGTTCAGCCAATTGTGTTGTAAAATGGAGTGGAAGGCAAGGCAACTGAAGATGTTTATAAAATAAGTATAAAATCTAAATTGGGTAAGGACAGAAGTGAAACAAGCATTCTTCACTATCCAGTGAAAAATGTATAGGATCAAAAGAATTTTAAAATAGGAGCACCGGAAAGAGATTAGAGTTTGGGTCACAAGAACATGTAATTTCAGAGGTGACCACGGGAGTGAGAGGCCACAGTCAGTGAGAGGCCACGAATAGGCCAGGTTGTTAGAGAAATCATCAACATGCATGACTAGCCACTAAGAATAATGATAGGAACAGTGTGGAGAGTAAGACAATGAGTGTCAGAATGTGAAGTTGTTATTGAATGACACAAGTGACAGGTGGCCAATGCACAACAGCTGTGAGACATGGCCTTCAGTGAACTTGGGGTATCTGAAGAAAGAGAAATGTTTAGAATGTAAGGGATGAAAGAGATGAATCTAGGATGACTTACAGTCTTTAAGTTAGAGTGACTAATAGTCATTAAATAAGAGCAGTCAGGAGGAATATGTGGTTTGATGATAAAAAAGATAAGAGCTCAGGCCGGGACATATTTAATTTCTCGGGACCTCTGTTTCCTAGCCTGCAAATTGTGGTAGAAATCTATTTGACTCCAGCAATGCAACCATTATAGAAGAGATACCAGAAAGCATCCAGCTCAACACTCTGTAAGACCACACTCTCTAAAACACCCCCACACGGGTTTCAGACCTTCCTTCCAACCAGTAGCCAAATAAATAGTTTCTCAGGGCAGAGGTGAGGTTTAGCATCTCCAAACACAGGAGGAAAGCAGAGAGACATGGACACACAGGCTACACACCTCAGGGTCTCTCTGATGCAATCCATCCTGAGTATGAGATCCTAGCTCCATTTCCTCTGAGCTACGCTGATTAGATTCACATTTGCCTTTCTTGCAACTGCCATCACAGGATTTCTTCTCTCCTTTACAAAGCACCTGGAGCTGGGAGATGAACTTGGTCTTCCAAGCTCTGAAGTCGGCTTCAATGCTGCCATGTTTGCTTTTAACGACATTGCAGTCACCCTCCCCTCGAGTCATCACGCGATGAGCACCGAGCATCCAGAGCCACTTATCAACATTCTTGCCAACCTGCAAGAAAAATGGATGAGCTAAAAACACAATATATAAATCAGCCTGCAGTACCTGTGGGACCCCTGCTGCTGCTGGGAAGAGGGAACTGCTTAGCCAAAAGGCTCCGGGCCCTCTGTCCCCAGCCACAACCCACAAGGGCACTAGGGCTGCAGTTGATACATTATAAGATTCTGCAAAAGGTTTTTTGTTTTTTTAACAAAGGGACAAATCTTTTTAGTAAACTAAGAGTTAATGCCTTAAAAATAATTGAAAACCACTATGCTAAATAATGTCAGAATAAAATATCTAATTAGCAAAGCAAATTTGTTCCAAAATGTAACAAAGTCTATGGGGCGAAAGCCCATTTAATAACAACGTGCACATGGAGTCCATTTAGCAAGACTCATAATTTCATAAACTGAGAAATTTACTGTATTGCAATATGAAGCAATGAGGCTCAGGAGCAGGGGCTATCAAGCACAGCTAAGAGTTTCAAAGCTTAACAGACTTCTTCAGTGGCAAGGCAGTAAGCAAAATATTTACATATCTGAATTGTATCATTCTTTGTCTAATTCCTTTGAAAATATGGAGTAAATATACATCTTGATGTAATAATTCCATCCACAAGGTCCTTCCTGGGGACAGAAGGCTGAACTCAAAGCCTACGAATCCAGGCCCCTAAGACACTAGATAATAACAGGTATATTCATTTATTTTATTCAGTAAAAATGTATTCAATAAAAATTTACTGAGCCTATACACCAGGATTGGATACATATGTGTAGCAATTCCCAGATATAAAGAATAACACAATAAGTTTATTAAGTACCAAAGTTTGTGGACATACACATACACATGCACATACATATGTGTATGTATGTGTTAAACTTTTTTAATAAAGAGAATTTATCCTTATAATTGAACATAGATATCTACCTTGTACCTACCTTATTGAAGTGGCTCGCATAGGCAGAATTTCCCAGGCCAAACACCGCATATCTCATACCTTTCAGGTAAGTTTTGCCAAATCGAAAATCATTAGATGCTTCCTCTAACCATTTGCAGAACCACTCTGCACTCTCAGTTGGTCGGCCATCAGTATATGTAGCAACCAGAAAGGCACAAACATTTTTACTAGTAACCTAACCAAGAAAGTAATTATTTCAGAAAAACATTCAAGAAGAAAAACTTCTTTTAAGTGTTGACATTCTTATCATACTAATTTCTGAGGACAAAGGGTGCTTTCATAAACAATCCTTTTCAAAGGTGAAGGAAAACACAGCAAGGACACCTTGTACAGGGGAGAAAACCCAGTCCTTTGCCAATATACCTCCTGCTGCCCTTCATCATTTACTCCATTCCATTTCTTAGACTCTCAATTCCAATCATATCCAATTTGTCATATTGGAAACAAACTATAAGTCAGTCAGAAAAATACACTTAGATCTCTAAAAAATTATCTGAAAAATTAAAGCAGTAAAACTTTTTAAACATAAACTTGGCACCATCATCTACACAGGGAAACAAAATACATGCTAGTCAAAGTATTTCATCTGCTTGAATGTCTCTTTTAACAGTTCCAAGTCATAAAGTTACAAGTAACCCCTCACAATTATTAAGTATCAAATTTGCTAATAATTTTTCACATATAATTTAGCACAGATTTGAGCTCACTCATTTGCACTACAGTGTTTTCTGGGGGCGGGGTGGGGGGGGAACAATGGACAATTACAGTTAGAAGTTTACACACTAAGAAGGGACTGGCAACCTATAGCCTACAGGCCCAATCCAACTTGCTACCTGTTTTTGTCAATAAAGTTTTACTGGAACCCAGCCATACTCATTCGTTTACATGTTGTCTATGGCTGACTTGTGCCTCAAAGGCAGACCTGTAGCTGCATGGCCCACAAAGCTGAAGATGTTTACTATCTAGCTCTCTAGAGAAAAAGTTTGTCCACCCCTGCTGTAAGTGCTCCTCTGACTCTAGCTGCTTCAGAATCGTCTTGGGCACCTGTTAACACAGTCCCCGCAGCCAGACTCTGGGTCAGCAGGACTGGGCTAGGACCTGAGAATGTGCATTTCTAACATGTCCCCAGGCTGATACTGCTGGTTCAACGGCCACATTTTGAGAACAACTACTATAGGGCAAACTTCCCTAACTGGGTAGGACTGGAGGAGAGAGAGGGGCATTTCTCAGATGAAGAAATTAAACTCTCACAGACATTAAGTAATGTAGGAAGGTACACAACTAGTAAGAGGTTTCTCTAACTCTAAAGCCCGTACTTCTTCTGCTACCCAAGGGGCTCCTGGCCTTTCAGGAGGCTTACACATGGCTCCCATGCATGGCACAGTGCCAGCAATAACAAGCCTCCTTGATTATGAGATTCGAAGCAGGAGGGCATTGGGAACTTCAAACCACCCAGCTCCTCCACCTTTACCCCCGCCCCAGGAGAGTCTAACACACCAGGGGAACAGGCTCCACGCCACTTCAGAATCAGCACATGACACCACACATTCAACACCTCTGACTCACACCAAAAGCTCAACCAACTGAAATCTCTTAGAATGAAAATTAGATTGATTCTGAAGATTCTATTTATCTCAGAACACAGGTCAATTAAATGTGAGTTTTGACTGAGGAAAAAAAAAAACAATTACCAACCTCTTCTACTAGATTATCATCTGGATCATATTCTTTCAGATTAATAACTGCCACAGGCAGATACAGGGAGGTAACAGCTTCAGCAAGAATTGTTGCAAATTCCTAAAAGGGGAAAAAGAAATCAGTCTTCAGTAAACTAAATAAACAAAATACTGTCTTCATTTACCCCTGTCGGCAAGGGAATAAGCCATTTCTCATGAAAAACTTTTCCAGTGACTGACATTTGTCATCAAAAACACAAATACTGCCTGGCTGGTGTGCCTCAGTGGTTGGGCATGGTCTTATAAACTATGAGGTCACGGTTCGATTCCCAGTTAGGGCACATGCCTGGGTTGTGGGCTCAATCCCCAGTGTGGGGCATGCAGGAGTCAGCCAATCAATAATTTTCTCTCATCATTGATGTTACTATTTCTCTCTCCCTTTCTCTTCCTCTTTCTGAAATCAATAAAAATATACTTTTTTTTTCATCTAACCCTTTACAGAAAAAGTTTGCCAAACTCTATCTAGTAGAATTTAAAGCTCCTGTAACAAGATCCCTTAGACAGCAAAGTGAGTGCAGAGAGAGAAAGATAGTCTCAAGGGCTATGTACCCTGAGACACTCCTATCTTTACAGGTCAAGGAGATGGGGAGAAATCAGCAAATAGTGAGGGAGACCAGCCCCAGCAAAGTAGGAGGAGAACCTAGAGAACAATGTCCTGAAAGTTGAAGGAAGAAACCACTTTAAGAAGAAAGAAGTGGTCAAGCAGCTAAAAGGTCAAGTAAGATGAAAACTGAGAATTAATTAGCAAAATGGAAATCACAGGGAGCACGTTGGGGCACGCAAGCCTAACTGAAGTGGTTCAAGAAAAACAGGAGCAGAGAAATTGGAGATCACAAACAACACTTCCAAGGAGCTTTACTAAAAAAAAAAAGAGGTGATAATTAGAGGGAGATGTGGGGCCAATTCTCAGAGCATCCAGTAAGAATTTACAATTATAGAAAACAAATCTGTTCACAGAGTAACACAGAAAATCCACACCAACTACCCCATCATTCTGTTCTAAATATGAACAGAAACTATGGATCACCAAGAACATGATAAGAACAAGAAGCAAGAAAGAGAAATTCCAGCAGCAGAAAAACTGAGTAAGCAGGTAACTAAAGAAACAGAAAACAGAATTCATTAAACTATATTGCTAAATTATGAATAAAATATTATAAAAACTGAGCAAAATAGCATTTTTTAATTAATATATAATAGCTGACATAAAACATTCAAAAAAGATTTGGAATTAAAATCTAAGAACCCAGAATGAAAAGAAAAAGTTACAAAAAAGTATGAGAGGAAAGGTCTGAGACACAGAAGGCCATCCAAAAGCTCCAACATCCAACTAATAGCAGTTAGACCTGCAAAAACGGAAGGGAAAAAAATTACCCAAGAAATATTAGCAGAACTAATGCAAACAAATCCTCAAAACTAAAGAGCCCTCCAAAAAAACTAAAGACCCCAAGAGTCCAGCACAATGGCTAAGAAAAGATCCAACTTAAACATCCTCTCATTTAAGATCTGATCCTAAAAGCTTCCAGAAACAAAAAAATCAAATCATCTTCAAAATGTCATCAGCAACGCTGCTTGCTAGAGGACAATGAAGTGATGCCTTCAAAGTTGTAAAGAAAAAATTTTGACACAGTCTTCCATACCCAGCCAAATATGAATCAATCAAATGTGAAAGCAGAATAAAGAAAATTGAGGTGGCACAGCTTTAAGGAGAGCCAACTAACCCATACCGACTATGATGTGGACAACAATATCAACTGAGATTTGAGGAATGTTTGTGTGAACTAATATAAGGAATTAATAACTTTTATCTAAAATTGAAAACTCTAGAAACATAGCACAAGAAGGTTAAAGAAATAACCATCAGAGGAACTAAAATAGAAACAGTTAAAAGAGATTCCCTCGAGAGCACTTTTCATTATGAACTCTCCGTATGCCTGGAACTGTTACTATCTGCAAGGATTAATTTGATCTTTAAAATTTTTATTTTTTTAATTTTTTTCCATTGGCTTTAGAGAGGAAGGTAGAGAGAAGGAGGGAGGGAGGGCTATCAAACCTGGGTATGTGCCCTGACCGAGAATCAAACCGGTGAACTTTCAGTGCACAGGATGATGCTCAACCAATTGAGCCATACCAGCCAGAGCAATCTTAAAAATGTTTTTAAACATTCATAAGATCTTTTCCGAGTAACATAAAAGGACTTTGTTTTGGTTGTTCAGATGCTTTTTTGTGTGTGTTTCAGTTTCCCACTTCTGTTGCTTAAAGCTGAACTTAATAAAAAGTGACTAGTATGATGATGAGCGAAGAACTATACCTGCACTGGAATACTAAAAAACTAAAAAGTATTATTCTACAAAATACCCACAAGAGGTCAGTAGAACCCTCTTTTGTACATACTATACAAAAATCACTGAAACCGAATTTTTTTAAGCCATTTTCATGTCAGCCTTAGAATCCCTTCCTAGAAAGCACTAAATAGCTGTGACTGACCTTCATAACAAAGAAGAAGGCAGCATCTAGATACAATCAAAGAATGTATCTTTCAGTACCTATCTGCAGCGAATGTACTTTAAACAGTATTCCATGTCTATCATTAATACTTTTTTTTTAATCCTCACTCAAATAGCAAGGATATTTCTCCCATTGATTTCTAAAGAGAATGGAAGGGAGGAGGGATGGGGAGAGTCGGAGAGAGAGAGGGAGAGGAACATCAATGTGACAGAGGAATTGGTTGCCTCCCACACGTGCCCCCACCGGAGCAGGGATTGGACCTGCAACCCAGGTACGGGCTCTGGACTGGAATTAAACCTGCAACCCTCCAGTGTTCAGGCTGATGTTATAACCACTGAACCACGCCGACCAGGGCAATCATTAATATTTTTAACACTTTTCAAAATCAAAATACATTTCATTAAACAAATATGTGAAATTCACACTATCTCCTCTTCTATACCAACAGGCATCAATAATGGACTTGCAACTCTCTCCATTCTGCTGAGGTAGAAGCAAGCTTCACAACATAACACCTCATGACAGTGACCACCAGACACCACCAATCAGCTGGAATTGGGCACAAGAAATAAAACCTACCTACCATCCCAGGAAGGAAAAATGGATGCTGGAAAGGGGAAAAAAAGATGAAAGAAGACTGGAAGACCAATTCAGTTCACTGCTAAAAGACACTTGTCAGGGATTTTTCTTAAAGATCAGGAAATTCAAGGGAAAGTGACATAAAAAGTTCTAACCTTTGCTGTACCAGTCTGGGAACCATAGAAAATCTTCACTCCAGACACAAAGACTTCCTTCTTATGAAGAGAGCTATAACCATTTGTCATCAAATCCTGAGCTGCTTTTGGAATGGATTTCTCCTGTGAGTTCTTGTCCTTGAAGATAAACAATCACAAATCTACTTTGAATCTTTTCCCAACTCCAGTAGGAATGAAAATTAGCACAGATACTGACCCATTTTATTATTCTCTTAATCTTCCTGGTTGTACTCCTCAAATACTAACTCCTTGATATAATTAGGTCCTTACAAGGCAGGACCCATATTTCGTTAAGACCATACTGATTCCTATTATAGTATTATATGCATGAAAGTATTATTCAAAGATAAAACTTTCATTCCTAATGTTTTTTAGTGGGAATAAGAGTAGAAACCTTTTTTGATCCTTAATTAGTGGAAAGAAAAGACTACTACCCCTTAAAGATGTGAATCAAATTTGGTTTTTTACAAAAGTTGAACTTTTCATTACAAAATCTTTCTGTACCTTAAGAATGAGACATACACAGCCCATCAAAGAAAAGGTAAATATAATTTAGGTCAAGGTAATTTAGCGTGTAAAAACAGAATAAACTTTTTTAGGCATTAAGAAAAATGTCTACAGATTAAACATAGAAGTGATTTAAAGTTCCTTTTAGCTTTTCTGCATTTTTCTGAATGCCTTAGAAAATCTGCACTCTAAATTCTCTATAAAATCTAATGCCTTAATACTCTCCTATAAAAAATAATTCCACTTACCTGCTTCCTGGTAACAATCTGGAAACAAATCCAAAGGCCAATACCAAAGGCAAAGCCCAAATATATGTAATATCTGTTTATCCATAATGATATTAAAGGTGAGAAGTCCCAGGTATCCGAAGAAGGATCTAAATTTAAAATGACACACAAATGTAATTGTATTTAAAGCTACATATACAAAAAGGTCCACTCTTATTTTAAATTAAAAAAAAAAAAACACCTCCATATTCAACAACAAGGCTAAGAACTCTATAGAAAATCAACTCTAGTGAAAATAATACATGCCCTGGCTCATGTGGCTCCCTCGGTGGGTTGGAGCGTCGCCTCCGTTCACCGAAAAGTGGCCGGTTCCCGTTCAGGGCACACACCCAGGATTCGGTTCCATCCCTGGCCCCGGCAACTGATCGATATTTCTCTCTCACATCGATGTCTGTCTGTCTGTCTATCTTTCGTCCCCCCCCCCCCTTCCTCCCTCTAAAATAAAAGGTAAATATATAAAATAATAATGCATTATGTGGCACCGTGATAAAATTGTAACCCTAATACACACACATACACACACACAACCATTATTTGGATATACCATTTGGGAGCAAAAGAAGGGAACAGAGTCAAAACACTTTATGGGGAATTATGAGTTGATTTCGCGTTGTTATGCTAGCTCCACAAGAAAAGATTTTTAAAGTACTAAAACTACTCACTTTTTTCTAAGTTTATTTTTAAGGACCCATGGCCCCTTGTAAAGGGTTCTTAAATGTTAACTGACCTCACAACTCCATTTTGAAGGGAGAAATGGGTGAACCTGGGCTCCAATGTTAAACCTGGGATCAATTCAAAAGGCAACGCCTAAACTGTTCACAGGTCCCGCTCCGCCCTGGAGAGATCCTCCACACACGTGGGTAAGGGGAGGAGTGGCAGCTGTCTCTGCCCCTTACTAGAGGTTAGATTTTAGAAACAAAAGGGAAAAGCCAAGTCAAAAGCAGATGATCCTCCCGTGCCCCCAGCGACAGCCGTGCTGAAAGCGCAGCCACCTCTGCAGGGTCCCGGGAACGCCGCTCCGCCGGGACAGGGTCTCGGTAAAACGGTTTTTCCCTCCCGCCTCGCGAACGCTTCCACCGGGGCCCTTACCCATCCTCCTCAGAGCCCGGGCTCTGCGGCCCGAAAGGAGACTAGGAGCGCGGACCTGGATAACCGGGCGCCTCGTCTCGGTCCTGGGGGGCGGTCAGAACCACCTCGCAGCGTTAGTCGTGTAACCTGAGAGCACGGAGCTGGGGGAAGCCATGCCACTCGCAGGCTGGTCGGGATTGGCTCGGAGGGAAGAGGCGGACCCAGGGAAGCACCTCCTGCAGCTCGAGGCGAGGAAGCCGGAGCTTTGCTGGTCCTGTTCGGATTGGCTGCGATGGGGAAGGGGCGGGCCTAAACGGAAGCCCCGCCCAGGGGCTCTGGGCGGGGCTTCCGGAGAGCTCGGACCCTCCGAGTTGGGTCAGAGGAGGAAAACTCTGGTTCGTCAAAACCCGAGTGGAATTGGGAAAAGAGAAGTGGGGTAGAAGGTCGGGGGGTGTAAAGAGACTAAAGGTGTCATCCACCAAATGCAATGTGTAGGCCCGTTTGGATCTCTGTTGAAACACACCGACTGCAAACATTATGTAGGGGAACTTTGGTTATAGACTGGCTATTAGATGGTACGAAGGAATTATGGTGAATCATGTTGGGTGTATTTTAGGATAGACTGAGTATTTAAAGCTAAACATTATCATGATTTGCTTTAAAATACTCCCAACAAAAAATGAGGGAGACAGAATGAAAGCAAGAATGGCAAAATGTTGATAATTATTGAAACGGATTGATGGGTACATGAGCGTTCATTACACACTTTTTTCTGCTTTGTCTATTGAAATATTTCTGTAAAAAAAAAAAAAATTCTGTAATGAAGGGCTAAGGTGGGTGTGGGTGTCCCTGAACTCTGCGGAACTATAAGGCATGGGCGCTGTGTTCCCACCCGGTCTGCAAATATCAGCTTCAACAGCTAATCAGGGCTCTTAGCTCATTGGCGAAATTACATTACCGCAGGAAATGCGTCTGTGTTCTGGGGCACGGAACAACGTCGTAAAAGCCTCGGTGCGCATGCGCTATTGCTCACTTTTCCGGGTGGGATCGCCTGCGCAGTAAGTCCGACGAGTAGTTGTGGCCCCCCAGGCCGTTAATCGCGAGGCTGCGCACGCCGCGGGCGGTACAGTCCCGCGCGCCGCCTGGTCGTTACTGCGAGGCAGGTGGCTCTCAGGCCGGCGCAGGTCCGCCGTGGTCGTCGGACCCAAGGTCTGTGAGCAGCCACGATGTCGATCTTCACCCCCACCAACCAGATCCGCCTAACCAATGTGGCCGTGGTACGCATGAAGCGCGCCGGGAAGCGTTTCGAAATCGCCTGCTACAAAAACAAAGTCGTCGGCTGGCGGAGCGGCGTGTGAGTGACCCTCCTGCGGGCCGGCCGGAGCGGGTAACCCTGAGGCGGCCTGCCTCCGGGGCTCGGATGCGTGGGCCAGCCTGGGGTCTGGTCGGGGAAGGAAATGGAGGACTTTTACTGCTGCGGGCCTGAGGAGTGTCAGTTCTCCCGAGCTTAGCGCCTGAACTAAGCGTTCCTGTTGGGTTTGGGTTTGGTCTGTTGGTTTGGAGTTTGGTTTTGCTTTCCTTTATGCTGTCACAAGAAACCTCCCTAATTATGGCCCTTTGGCCAGAATAATGATAGAGGCAGAGCCTAGTCTTAAAAGTATTCTAGTACAGCTCATGTCACAGATGTTAGTTATCCCGGTATCACCACTGCTGCCATCTAGCGATCGGCACTCGGCGGCCGAAGCCGGACCCGAACCCGGACCCAGATCCGCCAGGTCCCATACATCCTCCCACAACGCTTTTCTCCAATGAGTAAATGCGAATATATATGTGGTTCTGCGTTTTTGAAAATGTTTCCTCGGCCCCGAGGGTCGTTTTTAGGAGCATTTATTGTTTCTTGCTGTTGGTTTCGTTGCCATCTCGTATTTAAATGTGAGTTTCCAAGTTTCAGGCGTATTGACTTAGGACTCTCTCCTGTCCTCACAAGGGAAAAGGACCTTGATGAAGTTCTGCAGACCCACTCGGTGTTTGTAAATGTCTCTAAAGGTCAGGTTGCAAAGAAGGAAGATCTCATCAGTGCGTTTGGAACAGATGACCAGACTGAAATCTGTAAGCAGGTGGGTGCTAACAGCTGCAGCATAACTGACCCGTCTGTAGTGTGAGTACTTAGAGGTGTTAATCTTTTAAGTATTTTTGAGTGAACAGTTACCACGCAGTAAGTTGACCTGCACAGTATCACTTTTAATAATTCAGGACATGGTTTTTTTAAATTGACGTATAGTTGACATAAAGTATTGTTTCAGGTGTACAACATAGTGATTCGATATTTATAAACCTTATGAAATGATCACAAGAAATCACCGTACATAGTTAGGAAACGGATTTTTATTTTTTGCCAAAGCCTCTAGAAATTAAATTTTCTACTAAATTGCCTTATTTTGTTCATTTATGTATTTTTAATGTAATATGCCTGAAAGTAGAATTTCTTTTCAAGTAGTTCATCATTTAAACCAGGGGTCCTCAAACTTTTTAAACAGGGGGCCAGTTCACTGTCCCTCAGACGGTTGGAGGGCCGGACTATAGTTTAAAAAAAAAAACTATGAACAAATTCCTATGCACACTGCACATATCTTATTTTGAAGTAAAAAAACAAAACGGGAACAAATACAATGTTTGTATTTGCATGTGACCCGCAGGCTGTAGTTTGAGGACCCCTGATTTAAACCCTTTGCTAAGATTGCCTTTTCCCCTCCTAATCCTAAATAAGTGATATTTTGCTTGAAATGTTAATTTTTATTGCATGTAATATATTTAAAATCATCTTTCTTGAAATATTAATGTTTATTGCATGTAACATTTAAATCGTTTTTCTTGAAACATTGTTTATTGCCTACATTATATTTAAAATCAATTTTCTTGAAAATAACTAAAATTTAGGATAGTGACCCTTTAAAAAAAAATAAGTGATGTTTTGGAGCACAAGATAATCTAGTGCATTGGTCGGCAAACTGCGGCTCGCGAGCCACATGCGGCCCCTTGAGTGTGGCCGTGCGCACCCCCACATGGTATTTTGTGGAAGAGCCACACTCAAGGGGCCGCAATTTGCCGACCACTGATCTAGTGCATTCTTTAGGCAAAGCTCAAATTTCAGTAGCTAGAGAGGATGAAATTTAATTTTCTCCTTAGTTATTCTTGTGGTTAGTTAACAAATAGTATATAATAAAGACATGCTTCTTAAATTTGGTGGGATTTCTTTTTTTTAGATTTTGACTAAAGGGGAGGTCCAAGTATCAGATAAAGAACGGCACACACAGCTGGAGCAAATGTTTAGGGACATTGCAACTATTGTAGCTGACAAATGCGTGAACCCTGAAACAAAGAGACCATACACTGTCATCCTTATCGAGAGAGCAATGAAGGACATCCACTATTCAGTCAACACCAACAAGAGCACAAAACAGCAGGTTAGTGGTTTAATGTCATTAAAAGTATCCATGAAAATCCGTTTTCTCTGAAGAAATCATCAAAATAATCGGTCTGTAATAATAAACGGATACTACTTGAAAGCAAGATTTGGAGGGAGGGGAATGAAAGGCTCTGTATTGTAGAGAAGAGAAATGGGATGCTTTTTAACTACATATACATAGGACTCTCATCTTCCTATCCAAATCAAACGTTTAAAGATAAAACTTGGATTTCTAAAGAGTCTGTAACGCTTTAGATTTTTTTAAAACACATAATTCAAATACCATAAAAGTCACCCTTTTAAAGTGTACACCTTTTAAAGTGTAAAGTCATTGGTATATTCACAAAGTTTTGCAACCTTTCTTACTACCTAATCTGAGAACATTTTCATTACCCAAGAAAGAAACCCTGAACCCATTATCTGTCACTCCTCATCTTTCACAAGCCATTAGCGACCTCTGTCTCTATGGATTTGTTTATTCTGGACATTTCATATAATTGGAATCATGTAACATGGCCTTTTCAAGGTTCATCCATGTTGTAACATGTATCAGTACTTTATTCTTGCTACATATATTGTTTTTACAGACAAATATTAACATTTCATGGCTGAATCGTATCCCATTGTATGGAAACACCACATTTTATTTATTCATTCATCAGTAGATGGACATTTGGATTGTTTCCACTTCTTAGATATTGTAATGCTATGGAATGCATTACAGGTTTTCTGTGGACACATATTTTCATTCTCTGTACCCAGCAATGAAATTGCTAGATCATATTATAACTGTTTAACCTTTTGAGGAACTGCCAAATCATATTCCAAAAACAGGTGTACCGTTTTCTATTCCCCCAATCAATGTATAAGGGTTCCAATTTTTCCATGTTCTAGACAATATTTGTTATTTTCTGCCATTTTGATTATAGCCATCCTGGGCTTAACGTTCCAGTTTTGATTTGCATTTCCCTCATGACTAATGATTTGAGCATATTTTCATGTGCTTATTGACCTTTAGTCTCTCTGGAGAAATCAATGTTCAGATCCTTTGACCACTTTTTAATTGGTTGTCTTTTTAGTATTGAGTTGTAACAGTTTTTCTATATTCTGAATACTGTACCTTATCAAATATGTGATTTGTTAATATTTTCCCCTATTCTTTAGGTTGTCTTTTCGCTTTCTTCATAGTTTTTTGAAGCACAAAAGTTTTTCATCTTCAAGTCCAATTTACCTATTCGCTGTTTGCTTATGCTCATGTCATATATCTAAGAAACCACCACCTAATGCAACTAGATGGAAACAGCTGTGTTATGAATACCTTATGAAATAAGGCAGCAGAAACAGCAAAGAAATTGCAAGCATTTTCAATTTTGTCTTAATAGGCTTTGGAAGTGATAAAGCAGTTAAAGGAGAAAATGAAGATAGAACGTGCTCACATGAGACTTCGGTTCATTCTTCCAGTGAATGAAGGGAAAAAGCTGAAAGAAAAACTCAAGCCACTGATCAAGGTTATAGAAAGTGAGGACTACAATCAACAATTAGAAATTGTAAGATTAAAATTACTTCTCTTCCTCGTGTTAACAAAATAGTTTATTCTCTGATCATAAATGTGTAACCAACATTTAGAAGGTGTGAAAAGTAAGACATTCTCAGAAACATCTTACCTAGAATTAGGTAAAAATGTTAAGGTCTAAGTAGAACTAAATTGTAGTTAAACACACGATTTTTTTTGTTGTTTTCTAGTTAAATTATTTATGTTTAAAGACTTATCCAGATTTTAGGTGAGAATATATTTTACAGTGATTTTTACATTATGAGAAAATAAAAGACTAAAAGTTGGTCAGCCTCATGGGTTTTTTGAGAGAGAGAGAGAGAGAGAGAGAGAGAGAGAGATTGATTGATTTGTTGTTCCACTTATTTATGTATTCATTGGTTGATTCTTGCATATTCCCTGACCAGGGATTGAACCAGCAACCTTGGTATATCTGGATGACACTCTAACCGACTGTGCTACCAAGCCAGGGCACCACAGAACATTTTTAAAAGGCAGCAAAGCCCTAGCCAGTTTTGCTCAGTGGCTAGAGCAGTGATGGCGAACCTTCTGAGCTCGGCGTGTCAGCATTTTGAAAAACCCTAACTTAACTCTGGTGTGCCATGTCACATACAGAAATTTTTTGATATTTGCAACCATAGTAAAACAAAGATATTTTTGATATTTATTTTATATATTTAAATGCCATTTAACAAAGAAAAATCAACCAAAAAATAAGTTCGCGTGTCACCTCTGACACGCATGTCATAGGTTTGCCATCACTGGGCTAGAGCGTCGGCCTGTGAACTGAAAGGTCCCAGGTTTGATTCCGGTCAAGGGCACATGCCCGGGTTGTGGGCTCGATCCCCAGTGGGGGACTTGCAGGAGGCAGCCAATCCATGATTCTCATCATGGATGTTTCTCTCTCTCCCTCTTCCTTCCTCTCTGAAATCAATAAAAAAATATATATTTTTAAAAAGGCAGCAAAGAGCACATGTCTTTGAGTCCTCACCCAATAGCTTCAGACAAAGTATAAGCTCAGCTTTCTGCAAATTCATGTCCCTAGATTTTGCAGCAACTTTAGACATAGTTTCTGTATAGACCTTCAAGCTTCTTTCTCTCCATTTGTGGGTAAAAAGAGGCAATCTTATTGAGCTATAAAATTTAATGCTGTTTTTGTATGAAAAGAACCATAGTCTTCTAATCCAACCACTTCATCTTATGGCTGAAGAATCCAGATACTGTATGTCTTTCAACAAGGAGGCTCATGCCTTGTCACAGGAACCTCCATGCATACTTTGGGACAGGGCCTAGACTAGTCTGCCGCCCTGTGCATCGTCTTTGTGTTGCATTGTAAAGCTGTAGTATAGAGACATCTGGAAAGTATTGTGTGCTTGTCTTAGAGCAGTGGTTCTCAGCCTTGGCTGCGCATTAGAATCACCTGGGAATCTTTTTAAAATCCTGATTTCTGGGCCTCATCTTCCGGAAATTCTGTTTCTTTGTTACTAATGTTGTGGCCCCACCCCATAACAAAGAAACAGAATTTTCGGAGGATGAGGACCAGAAATCAGGATTGTAAAAAGATTCCCAGGTGATTCTAATGTGCAGCCAAGGTTGAGAACCTCTGTGTTAGAGGAAGTTAAAGTTGTGTTGATTCTATTGTATTGCTCTTCATGTGGTAAACAGCTGTGTTAAATGTTTCAGGTGTGTCTAATTGACCCAGGCTGCTTCAGAGAAATTGATGACCTGATACAAAAGGAGACAAAAGGCAAAGGTTCTTTGGAAGTGCTCAATCTGAAAGATGTGGAAGAAGGAGATGAGAAATTTGAATGACATTCATCAGTCTCTTCTGCTTTGAAACACTAAAACGTTTTCATTTCCCACTGTCCTGTTTTCTTTCTGTGGTCTGCCAAATACTTGCTCAAATTAATTTGTTTTCTGCCTTTGTGTTAAACAAAAAAGACTTTGCTAAATTATAATTGTGGTTAATTTAGTTTTATTTGTAAATTGGAATTTTAGGGGAAAATGAAAAATTAAAGACACAGAAGTCCAGAGAAGCATTTTGCTGTCTCGTGCCACTGTAGCTTTCCAAGGTGAAAGTTATTTGAGGCAGCTCTTGTGAATAAAAAGTTAAGTTTTGTACATTATAATAAGAGTAATTTTGGAAGGATATGTCTGTATAATCAAAAGGGAGTATTTGCTGAAAAAGAAAACAGTGCTTACTTCTACTTAATGAAATGCATGTGTAGGGGTAACTATATCTTGGCCTGATATACAGCTTGGATAATGGCTTCCTAATCAGCTGAGAAATATGACTGTGCAACACAAATTTCATTAAACATGCTGCCATAACATAAATTATTCCTGGTTTTAAAAAGTCATTTATTTCTAAAAGTTTATAATATATGTTAATATAGTCAAAATTATGAAATCAATAAAGCCACTCTTTATTGTTACTAAACTATGGCTTGAGTTTCTGGACAGCTTCCTCACTTCCTTTTTTTCCCTTCTGCCTCTTACCTGGTCAAGTTGAGTTGTTAGCAGGATTAAATAATCAGTATGAGCAGTACTTAGAACAGTGCCTGTTCTGATAAACACCTGCTATATCTTAGCAGATATTATCGGAGATATAATTGCATTTATTTTAGTATTAACACTTAAATGAACATTGTGCAAGTTTTTTTTTAAATCTACTCGTTCTCAAAAGAGATATTCTATAATGTAAATTTATGTTTCACTCAAAATAAACATAGATGTGTTTTGTGGAAATTTTCAACTGAAAAAGAGTTCTTGACTTGAACATGACGCAGAAGCATGTAGAATTCACTGCTAATCCTAATTCCCAGAAATGTCCCATCCTATATAATAAATGGCTAATATGCAAATTGTCCCCTCAGGAGTTCAACCAACTGGGAGTTCGACTGCTCGCTATGACATGCGCTGACGACCAGGGGGCAGTGCAAAATGAAGGAATGCCCCAGCCAGCAGCAGGAAGGCCCCAACGGGCCCTGATCACCAGCCAGGCCTAGGGACCCTACCCGTGCACCGGGCCCCTAGTTTTAAAATAACTGCCCAGTCTCCTCCCTGCAACCATCCATGGCAACCATCACTTTGTATCTAAGAGTTTGTCTCTGTTTGATTTTGTTGTGTTTTTTAGATTGCATATATAAATGAAATCATATGGTATTTCTCTTTGACTTATTTCACTTAACATAATAGTCTCTAGGTCAGGGGTGGGCAAACTTTTTGACTCGAGGGCCACAATGGGTTCTTAAACTGGACCGGAGGGCCGGAACAAAAGCATGGTTGGAGTGTTTGTGTGAACTAATATAAACTCAAAGTAAACATCATTACATAAAAGGGTACGGTCTTTTTTTTTTTAGTTTTATTCATTTCAAACGGGCCAGATCCGGCCCACGGGCCGTAGTTTGCCCACGGCTGCACTAGGTCCATTCAAGTTGTCACAAATTGCCTTGCCTTGGGAAATAGTGAGAGACTTCCCCGGTTCTGGGAACTTGAACTGCCCCATAGCAGGTGGCCCTGGTCCTAAGCAGCAAGGTATGAGAGCATGAAGCCCAGCAAGGAGCTGTAGATGAGCTGTTTCAAATTGAGGTCTTGCACTGGACTACGGGAGCTGCACCTTTTACACCCTTTTTAGGGCCACCTTTTTGTCCATGGCTAAGCTATAACGAGGTTTATTGGTTTTAAGCCATATTTGGAATTGGAATAGGTATACATTTGAAGATCCTCTGGAAAAAACAGCCTCACTCGTGGACACCTCCCCTCACTTATTATAATGTCCCATTATAATAAACATTAGAGTGCCAGACACTCTTCTATGCACTCTGTAGTAACTGACTTGCTGAATCCTCACCACATTCAAGTGGGTTCTATTATCCTTATTCTTAGATGAGGAAACTGGGGCACAGAGAGGTTCAGCCACTCAAAGTTATGTGGCCTGCAGGAGTTGGAGCAGGGCTTGTACCTGCCATGCTGAGCTTCAGAGAACTCCCTTCCTGGACCAGATGGTGTTAGAGCATCTCCCTGCACAGCCCCCCGCAGGCCACCCCAAGGGACCACTCTGGCAGCAGCCTGGAGGCATCCTGTCCTCAGGTGGGGAAACAAGTTCTTACACAACTCCTATTCTCCACCTAGCACTAAGCCAAGGCCCCTTGAGTTCAGCCTCTGCACCAGGGCCAAGCCATGTCCTCTGTATGCAACGCCCAGTCCAAAATCCCTCCTTTTGGAGGTGCCTTCATATTGTACCTCTTCCAAGATGCCTTCTGCAATCACCCCAAAAGCATCATAGCCATCATCCTCTATCTTTATCTTGTCACTATCTGCCAACAGATTATATACTGAGTGAGCAAGAGGAAAGGGGCTAAATAATATCAGAAGCAAAACTCAATCCCTTTCCTCCCCTTAGACTCAATATAACTGACTAGCCATCTATCCTTGCAATGGTCAAACAACGCTATTTCACTCATCAACAACCAAGTGCAGAGGGTGCAGTGTCCTGGCAAAGAAAGTCTAGCACATGCAGGAGCTCTGTAACAGGAGAAGGCAGAGCCAGCAAGGAGTCTGCTTCTGGTAACTCAGGCCTGGCACACAAGAAGGGTTTATGTAACTGAGAAGGATGTCTTTGCACTCCACCCCTATTCCATGTTCCCTACTGGCCTGTATCACTTTTTTTGGAGAGGATCTGGGTCAGGTCTGCAAACACTAGCTGGTCCAACACTAAAAGTAGTTTTGTGCTCTCAGGAAGACTTGTGTGCTTGATGAGACCAGCTTAGTAGTAAACACTGCCCACTCCTCATTCTGATGATAGGTGACACTTTGAAAGAACTACTTCAAAAACCCTCAATTATCACAAACTAGAGGCCTGATACATGAAATTCATGCAAGAGTAGGCCTTCCTTCCCCTGGCTGCCGGCACCAGCTTCCCTCTGGCACCCGGGAGCCGCCAGCAGGCACCCGGGACCCAAGTTGACTTCCCTTGGGCCACCTGCAGGCACCCAGGACCCAGGTTGGCTTCTCTCTGGCCCTGGCTTCGTCAGGAAAAATGTCAGGAATGACGTCCGGTCTAATTAGCATGTTACCCTTTTATTATTATAGATGTTCTTGCCTTAGAAAACACCATCAGACAGGAGGAAACAGAGACACAGCAAATAAATTCAGATGTTTTATTCAGTAAAGCACATATGCACACATTTCAAACATGGAAAATTAATCTGGGAGTGAATGCCATAACATCAGCTACTGATCATCATGCAGCAAGAGAAGTGAAATGGATCCGCTGGCCCTTGTGACCCCACAGTGCCTGCAGGAGGGTTGAAAACCAGGATGCTGAATCCCTACAGACTGCCAAAGAAAACGCAACAGAAATGGCAGGTTCCTAATGATGAGAAAACTTACAAATAGAATCAAAACTGATTCAAGTCATACAGTGAAAGGACAAAAGGAAAAAGAAAAGAGATCAATATGATCTGAAACAACCACTTTAATAGTAAGTTGCTGACCTTTCATTGGACCTCCAGTCCAAGATGCCTGAGGACGAGCCGTGCTCCTGGGTGAGGTCACCCTGATGGCAAGCGGGCCCTGCCTGGGACACCTGTAACCTGGAGCCCCCAGCAAGACCCTGCAGAGGCCTTGTTTGCAAGTGCCCCACAGCAACAGTCCCCTGGACTTCCTACATCCAGCGGAAGTCTCTTCAGTTACGAGGCCTCTTCACCCAGCAGGTACACAGCCTCCTTCCTCCACCCCAGCCTTTCTTTATATAATTGACTGGCTCTGGGTTTCCACAAGATCTTTGAGATTTGCCTTCTAGGGTAAATGCCGGATTTTAAAGTGTGTGTCCTAGCCTCATGACAAATCATACTGTCCAGGTATTTTTGGCACTTCCTTTCCTCACACTTAACAATGTTTTTCCTCCCCTGGCTACAGATTCCAGCCATTCCCTGTAATTAAAATAAGGGTAATTAATATTAGCAACAAGTTGGATTGAATAAACCAGTGAAATTGACTTTTTCCACCTGTCTGTCTCCTTTTATATTACTCTGCCAGCTATAAATCTATCCCTAGAACTCCATTCATTGGGATTTTATTAATTCAGTAGCAGCTTAACCTAAAATATGTTGGTCTTAAAGATAGTGATGTTTCTAAAGGCCAAGCCCAAAGGCTTTCACAATCTTATTTCTTAAGATCCTCAAAGTCTCCAAACACAAAACTAAACTAACAAGTTAGCCATGCATCATGGAAGCAACTCATGTCATACAATAACTGGATAGGCAAGTCTGATTATTGTGTTCAAAATGTACTAAAAGGAAAAAATATATATTAACATGTTTTAATAATTATTTTAACAATCTGTAGTAAAAGCCCACAATTGTTTTCCATTCAAGCATGCCTGGTTTAAAATGTTCCAGGCCAATCTATATTCCAGACTGCAGGGCTGATTCTAACTCAAAACAGACTATGCAGGCCTGGAATTAAGGGAAGAAGTACTGACAGTCATGCCCAAGGTTTTACTGGCCCTTTTGCTACAGCACTGCTTGCAAGAACACAGAAGTCATTAATGACAGTGAGGCAAAAAGCTATCTAGAAAAACAGAATACAAGTAACAAAAGAGGACTAGAAAAGATAACACATAATTTTTTTTAATGAAGATGGATTAGAAGGAAAAAGGGATAAAGGAACCAGATCATCAAAATGTTATAGCAAAGAAAAATGCTTTGCGTTTTCCTGATAAATGGCAAATCAGAATTGCTTTCATTCAAATTTCACAGGCATGATCTTTGTAGTGTTAGTGATCTACTAGTTGCCATTTTCCTTCTGAAGATATGTTAACTGCATAGAAATAAATATTAAAAAAAAGAAAAACCACTCCCTTTTCAAAGAAAACAAGAAATCCTTTCATTACTATTAGGCCAAATCATCATTCTCTTTCCATAGTATCATCTGCATTCCAGAAAATAGAACAGCTAATTTTTACTCTACTCTAGAGACATTTACTTAATTTTTAAGTCCTTTTTTTTTTTTAAATCCTCACCCAAGGATATTTTTTTCCATTGATTTCCAAAGAAAGTGGGAGAGAGTAGAAGAAAGGGGGAGGGAGGGAGGGAGGGAAACAAAGATGTGACAGAGGCAAATCGTTTGGTTGCCTCCTGCACATGCCCTGACCAGGGCCAGGGATCAGACCTGCAATCCAGGTATGTGCCCTTAACTGGAAATTGAAGCTGCAACCCTTCTGTGGGTGGACTGATGCGCTAACCACTGAGAAACCGGCCAGGGCTTTTTAAGTCCTTTTGAGTGAGGAAGCTGCTTTAACTTTTATAATGGAGGGAAGGGACAACAGAGGAGAAAAAGACAGTGGAACTTTCTGTGCCAACTAAACTCCACAAGACCAGGTTCCTCACAACTCCTGTGGGAAATGAAACTTAGATCTTTACCATGTAGGTGACTTTTAAATATTAAACATTTTACTCAAAATTTTGAAAGAAACAAGCCTGTCTTACCTAGAGTAGTATTTAAATGTGACTTTTTTTTCCAAAAGAAAAAAGAAAATTTAGAAAGATGTGTGTTTCCTTGCAAGCAAAACAGAGAAAAGGGTATTATTGTTGGTACTATGAGTATTAAGCCACAGACACGTAAAATCCACAAAATGGATTGGTGGCTTGGGAAATGCAATATCATGTCAAAGGTGCAGACTGTTTCAAATCAAAGCAAACTTCAACCCATCCAGCAATGAACTGCCCCTGAGATCCTGGTAAAGAC